TAGGCTGCAATTTTGGAGTTAAATTTAAAATAAGGAAGTATTCTCTAAGTATTTTAATCAGATTAACCTTATACTATTAACTTACTACAGTTAAACCTCCATAAGTACACTGTATACAAACCAGCTTCAATCGTGCATTTAGAGAAGTTTGTATTTAGAGAAAGCCAATCAAATTGCAGCTTTTAATGTTTAATCTGCAGGCTTGTGTAATACAACTTGAATACTAAATTCTAATTGGCTATATGCATTTAGGGAAATTAGTATGATATAGAAAATCTTTTAAGTAAACATGTATTTGCAGAATATAGAACGTGCATTTAGTACTAATGATTTCTTATAGCCAGGCCAGGAACATGTATTTAAAGAGGTATTGTATTTATAGAGATTGTATTTATGAAGGTTTGACTGTATTCTAACTTTTATTCCGAGATATAACCAAGAGCGATGGCCACAGCAATAAACTCATGATTAGATATTTTAACTGAAGATGAAGATATAGAAAAGCCTTCAACAATAGCTAAATTTGTTTCAAGTTGAAGTTTGCCTGATTGTCTACCTCTAGCTCTAGGATATGCAAATCTTCGATGTTTAGTAAGGAAAGAAAGTGTAGAAAAGTATTTTTTACAGATAGTACAACAACGTCTAGCATAATTTTCTTTAGTAAGTGTCATATGTTGGAACCTTAATGGAATCAATATTCTAAAGTATGAATTGCATTTAGGTAATAACTATCTTTTCTTTAATTAATGAAGGCAAAAACCTATTATTTATACTCAATAATATAGAAGCCTCCTTAGCCTGTTTCGGAAAACAATATGATGGATCATTACATTTTTAAATATTCAAGAAATATTGACAGATAACATAATGATTTTTGATCCAAGACTATGGTACATATAATTCATCATTTTCATCATTGTCTTTATTATCTTGTTCTTCTTCAACCACATTTTTATTTACTGAAGATAACATATTTGAAAATAGATTTATTTGTTTATCAACATACTCAACAAAAACTGGCTTTCTATAAATAGGGTCTCTCTTCTACAAATTTGCGAGGGCCTGGCCAGTATGGCGAAAATTTTGAAGCCCAAGTTCATAATTTTGTACACTTTCTTGAGAATCCAAGTGATTTCCAAAATGATTAATTGGTAGAGTAATTCTAGTAACTTTTTTTGATAATGATGACATACTCCTTTCAATGGGGTTATAAGCTAACTGGCCCAGAGCATGAGTACAGATTGTTAAATAATCTAAATTCAGATGGCAAAATAACTTACAATATTGAATGATATTTTTGAAATGCCGTAGATTCTCATCCGGCCCACTATTGACCAAAAGGACCTACAATAGTTTGACTTTATCTTTATACCTGAAATAGAAATAGTAAAAAAATAATAAAAATATGAATTGTTAAATCTAGATGTTTTTTAATTATGTAATTTAAAAAAATTCACTTTCTAATCTGAAAACTTTATCAAACCTTTCATTAGCAACCAATGATAAGATGTCTGTCATGTGAGTAGCAGAAGAAGAACCGAGGTGCTACTGTGCTCTAATAAAAATTGAAATTTGACCAACCCTTAATAATTCATCAGTTTCCTTTGGATTGATTATCAAATAGACAGATAGTATTAATTTTTGTGAAGATCCGATTAGAAAATCATAATCAGGTACTGTCACAGGTTCGTGAACTGTTTGCATTGTCTTAAAATGTCTTCCTATAGCAGGAATGCCAACAGACACCTTTGCTTTGTTGTCTTGCAACAGTATAACAGATTGGTTAGCAAAGACAGAGGCGAAGTTTCTAGTATTTTTTACTGATGCCAAACAATAATACCCATCAACATGATCCTTTTTTTTATTTCTGCTAACTCCTGCAATTCCAACTAAAGCTAGATGATAGTGAGCTTGTACTGAAAGATTGCAATTATTTCGGGGCAGAATATAGTTTCATGTAGTTGTATATGACAAATATTCATTATATTTTTCCTCTAATATGATGCAAAGGTAATTAATCATTTTAACTTTGATGATTTCATGCCGCCTTTGAGCATTAGCCTCTCCAAATTCAATGCAGAAGTGTATGTAGTCGTGTAGATCAGGATATTGGAAAAGTAAGGGTAGACGGCCCGGAGTATTATACCTTATAACCAATTGCTTTTTTTCAAGCAATTTTTTTTTTTTTCTTGTGATTTTCTTTGACTTGCTGCATGTCTTTTTAGTTTTTCTAACCGAATATCTTGACTTTTGATATTTTTTTCTATATCAGAAATCTGGGAAGAAAAACTTTTATAATATTCGGGATTTGTAATAATTCTTGACATAGCTTGTAATTCGGCCAATTCTTTTTCTAATTCTTTTTTTTTAGCAAAAACTTCTTTTTGTGCTATGGCATTGTAAGAGATTGGTTCATCAGATTTTGGTGGTTCGAGTGGTAATGACATGATGATATTACCAATGATTGTGACGGCAGGGATCGATTACTTGGAATGTGCATTACATATCTTTGCAATTGTACTGGAGTATTTAAATAATTAAATATTTTGTTTTCAATTTCTTCTTGAGAAAGTTTTTTAACTAAATCTCATTTATGATTACATTCATCACATAAAGCTTTTTTATCAGAAGATGGAGAACCCAATGAAGCTATTTTATAATAGGCAAATGCATTAGTAAATTTATGAAAAACAGTTTGAGGGTTTTTATAAATATACTTTTTATTATATTTTGGAGTGGAGAGAAATGTTTGCATTTTGATATTTTTTATTTAATTTTTAATAGTGCTTATAAATAATTTAATACTTAACAAATAAAAAGGTCTTTACAAGTTAGAAATAATCTAAGATAACAAGTGGAGATTTTAATCGTGCTATGGCAAGCATTTTTATTTTATTTTTATTATTTTTTATTAATTATATTTACACTAATGAGTTACATTTTTTTTAAAACACAATTATGAAGCTCTTACTTACCATTCTCTTTAAGTATAAATTGCTTTTTTTTTGCATTGCTTTATTTCGCCCAAGCATATGGTATGTTTTTTTTTGTTCTTATTATTCATGGCTTTGGCTTACTATTTTTTTTTATGCAAGTTTAGATATGATAATATAGTGCTTGTTCCTGTGCCCAGCACTAGTTTTCAACATTACTATAGCGATATTTGCAGAATTCTGCTTTTAGTTACATTTTAGTCTAAAAAATCTCATGCCAAAACTAAAAGATCCAGAATTGGTTAGTTATTTCTAATTTGTTATTATGAATAATAGCAAAGAAAGATTAGATTGTTTTAATCATATTTGAGACTAAATTTAAGTTTATTTGATTTTCTTGATAGTGGACTATTCCATGCAAGACTATTATTATTAAGCTTGCTTATATATTGAATATTAATTTAAGTATAGTGTTATAATGTTTAGTTTTTTTTTTATTATAAATGACTAATATTTTTATTTCTGCTTTAGATCTGGAATTAAATGCAGATTGAATAACTTCATGCTTAAATACTACGAATAAAATATATAAGTGTGGTGTTGGTTGCTTCCAGTGTATTAATTAATCAAAACTATATAATAAGGTATTGTAGTAAATCTAGTAATACAGATTTCTGCATAGACTAGCAAAATAGTTAAATTCACTAGCGAAGACTATTATTATCCAAAAATTGTTTTATCTCACGTACTATTTATTTTTTTTTTCCGCAATTTATATACAAGCGATTAGATTAATATGTTGAAAAAAAGGTATAGTTTAAAATTTCTTTTGCAAAATAAATTCTTAGGCTGAATATATATTACAGAAAATTTTTACTAATTTATTCTGTAAATATATTTAATTAAAAACTTTAAACTAAACCTTTTTTATAATATATTAATCTAATTATTAAAAATAGTTAGTATGTGAGATGAATTAATTTTTGGATAATAATTGTCGCTAGTAAATTTAACAATTTTGCCGATTTATGCACAAATCTGTATTACTAGATTTTACTTATATAGTTTTAATTAATTAGTATATCAGAAGTCCCAGTGTGGTATGAATGTATTTAAATGTATGTATACAAATATATGCATATAAATACGCAATGGTTCACTTTTACCACAAATGTGCATATACAAGATCTGGGTATAATAAGAAACCAGAAAAGGTTTACTGTGAGAAGAAAAATATACCCGTTGTATTTATAATAGGCAGTTTAACTATTTGCTAAAACCACAAAGATTTTGTGGTTTGTGCTCGGGTCTAACTCATGATAAGTCTACTACCGAAGAGAATCTTTTATATGGATATTTATAATATATAGAATTGTTGGATTTTAAATATAATTTGAATATACTTAAAAATAGTTAGCAATTCTATTTGTATTGTTTTAGAATTTAATTCTGTATATGAATTGTTTCGGATATACCTGATCTTTATTTTTTCTTATTATTTATTTATAAACCTATTCTAAATATAAATTCTAAAGGTTTTAATACATATAAATGTTTAAATTAATCTAAATGGCAATAAATTAGTTGTGAAATTAAGGTTTTTAATAAAAACAATTAACAATTTATCATCGCGAAAAATTATTAGCTCTTGATTTTTTGCAATTTTATAGTTAATAAATTAGCCAATTAGATTTTAGTTATATTATATCAGGTAGGGGGAGGGAGTAGGCCTCTTATTAACCTCAAATCACCTGATAAATATCTATACCCTAACGCATTTGTTAAGAACCTCTAGGCCTCATGATTCCATTCAGCTATATTGAGTACTAGAAGCATTTGTAAAACATATCTAGACAAGTCTTATTACCATATTAGGAAATACAGTTGTTCGCATATTACCAAATTTGAAACATTAAGACCTGGATCTCAAAGTCGCAGGAAACTAGCTAGTTACAGCAGTATGCAGGCTTGAAATACTTATCCAATTGGGTAAAGACAGCTGCATAGCTTGAGATACAAACTTTTGGAAGTATGCTAGTTGGGACTGAGGTACACCAAACTAGAAGCAATAAGCATCTGCCTAGTACATACCAATTTGGAAGTTGAGATATTAGGTATATAGGTAAAGTGGTGAACATGTGAATACTAATTGGCAGTTGGGAAGAAATATATAAAATTTAGGTCAATCACATGTATGGAAGTATTAATGGCTCTGGTGGGTTTTAGCCGTAAATAAATGGTCTTAGACTTAAAGTTCTAGTCCTAGTTCTTATATGTAATATGTATATATTTTAGTATCATTATATATCAACTTGCTTAAATATTAATAAAGTTTAGGGCAGATACTATACCCTAATATTAAAAAATATATATATATATTTTAAATAATTTTAAAAAGTTATAAATAGTTTACCAATTTTAACTCTTTCTGACAATCACCTGTACCAAAAAATCCAAACACATTTTTTGTAAAAAACACACTAGCGCTTAGTAAAAAATAGAGGACATACCTAGAAGTTATAAGTCGGCAGTTGTTATTTAGAGGTAGTTCTTATATGCTACCTGCTAACTTCTTTAGAGTTTATCACTCACCGCATGCACGGCACTTGTCGTTGACAGATCCAGGATGTAGGTGAGATTTTCCGGGTCATGTGATTAATCGATCTCCGATCTTATCTCGGAATCACGTA